GGCGGTGGCAGCGGCAGCAGCAGCAGTGGTAGTAGTACCAGCAGCAGCAACTGTAGTTCGTTGGGTTGGTAGGCAGGTGGATGGGTCGATCGCTCTGCCAGTCGTCGGTGGTGAGTCGGCCATTGGTCCAGGTGGTAGGTGGTAGAAGCGATAGATAGCTGGAGTAGCAGTGCTAGTACAGCTTCAGTAGTCACTAGTCAGTAGGAGTAGCAGCAGCAGCAGTAGCAGCTGCAATACCAGTAGAGTATCGGAGTGAAGGCAGAAGTAGCAGTAGAAGCAGTAGCAGCAGTGAATGCTGCAAAGAGTCGTTGTGCCCAAACCTGGGGTTGTCTTGGTGGGCAGAGATATAGAAGTCGGCAGCTGTCACTGCATCCTTGGCTCAGTCAGCAGGAGCTCTGAATAAAACTTTTACCTTGAAACAGTAGCACGAATGGCTGAATAAACATCTTCAACAGTGTCATCGGCGTCATTATCAAAAGGGCCACGATCTCTTCCAGATCATGGACATGACCGCTCGCACTACAACCTACGTCAGCATGACTGCTGCTTTGTCATCTCCATCAACATGGCCGTCATCGCATTCATGCCTATCACTTTCGCCATCCCCGCTCGTATTACCACGAATACAATAAGACTCTACCAATCAATCAACCAAGTTCCTACCTTGTAATCAGCAATCACCACAAGCTGATGCTACCAGCATTTTTGTGCGGCAGGGCAGAAACAACAGACGAGATCAACTAGTAGTGGGTGGATATCAGCACTGACCGTCTTCGCTATAAGAAATGAGGCAACGGAACCATGATAACAAGAGCGACAGCACCGATCCTCATGCTGAAGATATCGCCGCCAGCATCTGCAGCAGCAGCAGCAGCGTCATCGCCATCTTGACCACCATCACCATCTTACCGACTACTTTCGACTTCCTGCCTGTTCAACCGTATTGCTTATACTATTGCTGCTACTACACTGATACTGCTACGACGACTACTACTTATTATTACTACTACGACGACGACGACGTCTACGACTGCGACTGCGAAGACGGCTACGACCACTCCTCCTCCTGTCCCTGCTGCTGTTGCTCCTGCTGCTGCTGCTGCTCCTGCTCCTGCTCCTCCTCCTGCTGCTGCTGCTGCTGCTTCTGCTGCTGCTGCTGCTGCTGCTGCTTCCTCTGCTGCTGCCTCCTCCTGCTGCTGCTACCCGCTACCTGCTACGTACTGCTAGAGGCTGCTACCACCTACCTGCTGCTGCTCTGCTACCTGCTACTGCTACGACTAATTACGACTACTAGTCGTACCGATACCACCACTACCACCATAGTCCATTCTAATCTTGCATGACGGTATCCGAGGACAATTCTGAAGACGCGGTCTCGTGTTGTGTCGTGGCGGCCTGCAAGAACTGCTTGTGTCCCATTGTGGAGGCTCTGTACACTGAGACGCCGCGGTCAATCCAGCCATTACTGCCGCTGGTGCAGCACTCGTGCGATGACCGAGCAAGATGTCGGAACTTGCCGGGTGCGTGGCCAAGTTCTGCACAGGCTCAAGCTGAAAAGGAGCAATGAACTGTCTTCCAGCTTTGTAATCACAATAGGGCTCCACAAGGTAAGCCTTCTGCAACCTTGGTCCACATCTCGCCTGATCAGTGACCGATCAAGAAAGCCCCTGATTCTATTGAATCTATTGTCAAGCCCTAAGCCCTGCAACTGAGCCGCCCAAACCGGCAAGCCAGTGTGATAGCGCAGCGCGTCTGCGTAGGGCGGTAGTTCTGTGCACTCCTCGGCGTGGGTTTGCCGCAGAGACCGGGGATGAAGCTTTTCATTTGGACGCGGCACTCATGCACCACACGCAGCACTGCGAAAGTCAACACGCAACGAAGCCGTTCCACACAATGGAGTTTCCTGTTGAAGGGCTGGTCGCTGTTTAACAGACAGGAGCGAAAGCAGCTTGGGATGACTCTCTTGCGGTGCGCACTCTTGTGGCTGAGGCCATGCAAGGAAAATGCAACCCGAAGTCGGGACACAAGCCTCGTCATAACCGACAAACTGAATCTGAAGATCCTTTCTCCCAGTCGCTGGCCTCTACTGTCAAAGCAACATCACCCCGTCCTACGAAGGCACACCGGGAAAATCAGTACAACACTGATTGCATGTGCCCCAAATTCGCAGGGGCTGGCCGGCAGCCAAGGCACCAGCAGGATGGCGGCAATTCTCGGGTGTTGCTTTCGTGTCTCCTTCAGACGCTGTCTCAATGCTTCTCGCGCACCGATTTCTGTGACAACTCGGCTCGGGCGCGTTCAGGTCCAGAGGGACCTTCTTGGAGCGAGCCTCTCAGTGATGCTGAGCATTGGATATTTGATGCCCAGGAGCGGCAACTATTTTCGGAAAGCTTATACCTCGAGTCATGGAGTGCCCGGCCACCGTTCGGACGAAAACACAAGTCCAGTCCTCCATTCTTCTGCTAGAACAATTTCACAACGCAAAGCGGCAGACTTTTGGAGGGGATCACCAGGCGGCCCTGGCCCTACACAGGGCTGCTCGGCAGGTCTCCTGCACCAACTTCACGATGCCAGGCTGGACGACTTCCAGTGGGACCTCGGATCCGAAACTTCCATCACCCCGGCAGTCTCACTTACGATTGTCCTTGGGCTCTAAAACCACTAAACCTATTGCTTCACAGAGGCCTTTCCTCCCAGCGCCACGGCTTCGAAGCCAGGCACATTCTGGCAGCCCTTGATGAGAAAGCGGTCCTGGCGATGAGTTGCATCCTTGTGCTTTGTCGTGCCTCCCTTCCATCATGCCTTCTTGCATGCCTGCATGCATTCATACATACATGACGGTCTCATGGACGGACAGACAGACAGGCATGCAGACGAGCAGGCGTGATTCGTTCCCCGCAAGAAGACCAGGACCCTCCTAATGTAAACAATTATCGGTGCAAAACATTTAATACGAGGGGGTGAGTCTTTTTATAAACCCACGCGGGGCTTATCTTTGTAAGGGCAACAGAAGGAGCCTAGACAAGCATGTCAGGGTATCTCCCCAGAAGGGCCAGATGCAGGCAACCACTTGTTTTTTGGCAGCTTTGCCTTTGGCTTCATATGAGCAGGCGGCACAGCAGAGGCCTTCGTAACAGGTAGAGCGGACTATGCACAGACATGGAAATCCGCTTAAGCTGTTTTGAATCTCTATCTGCTCGGCCGCTCCTCGTCGACATCGAATCCACAGCTGCTGAGCAAGACCTGCTTCTGCGGCTTCAGGTGCCGGTCATTGGCCTTAGGCTCTGTTGAGGACCGCTCGAGCACAGCTGTCTGTTGACCACCGGAGCTCGTGAAGCAGATTCGTTCTACGCCAAGGAGCTGTCAGGAGGAGAATTTGATCCTCAGGCTCGAGCGAGGCAGCGATGATGGGGCACTGCCTGGGATAGGCTGCATGTTGTGAGCAGTCGCAGCAAGTCTCCGGGCTTCTACGATCCCAGAAAGGCATTCAGCAGCTCCCTCACCGAGCAGAGAGTAATCCTCGTTGCACTCTGTTCGGTCAGGCAGCACCATGGAGGACATGAAGATCGGCTTGGCCGCAATCTTCCTCCAGGGCCACTTCAGTCCCTCAAAAGAGGAATTGGGTGAGACCAGGACTGGGCCGACAACGACCAATGCCGCAAGCTAATTTCTTCATCAACTCGGCAAGATTGTGCTGTGGACTGTGGAGTTTTGCAGCGTCGGCTGCTGGTGAAAGCCTCTCCTTGCAATCATGTGGAAGGCCATCATGAAGCCGCAGTCGCCAGTGATGGCAGAACATCCTCGAGCCTTTCGACTGACTTTGGTGGGAGGGAAGGGTATGGAGAAGGGATAGAGTCTGATAGAGATCCTCCAGGAAACTCCGGCGTGTGTTTTTAAATACACGGATATTTGAATAGGTTAAACAGGTATATTACACTACCTCCGTGAAACATCGCCCGGGCCCGCCTCGAAATCAAATATCCGGAAATTGGCAGATCATTGGTGGGTTGGGGGTTTAGGATTTTGGGCTTTAGGGTTTAAGGGTTTAGGGTTCAGGTAGAAGCCAAACCTTTCAGCTTTAGGTTCAAGCCAAACCGAGCCAGCCCTCCAGCCTTCCTCAAGCCTTCCAGCCTTCCTCCAGCGCCAAGCCCCAGCCCTCCAGCTTTGCCGTCCAGCCCCAGCCCTCCAGCCCTCCAGCCTTCCTTCCAGCCGACCAGCCAGTTTTCAAGCCTTCCTCCAGCCCAGCCCCCTCCAGCGTTCCAGTTTTCCAGACCCAGCCCTCCCTCCAGCTTTGCCCTCCAGCCCCAGCCCTCCAGCCCTCCAGCCTCCGGAGGAAGGCTGGAAGTCTGGAGGAAAGGTTGGAAGGCTGGAGGGCTGGGGCTGGAGGGCTGGGGCTGGGGCTGGAAGGCTGGAAGGTTGAGGGTGGAAGGCTTCAAGGCATTCCAGCCTTCAACCGCTCCAACCTTCAGCCGCTCCAGCCTTCCACCCCTTTCGTGGGTTTGGGGTTTAGGGTTTAAGCGTTTCAGGGTTTAGGGTGGAAGCCAAACCTTCCCGCTTTCCAGCCTTCCTCCAGCCCTCCAGCCTTCAACCCCTCCAGCCCTTGCAGTCTCCAGCCTTCCAGCCTTCAACCCCTCAAGCCTTCCAGCCTTCAAGCCCTCCAGCCCTAAACCCCTTCCAGCCTTCAACCCTCCAGCATTCCAGCCTTCACCTTTTTAAGACTGAAGGCTAGATCACGTCATACTGGGATTTAAATATACGGATTTAAACAAATATTTTATACTACCTCTGCGGCCAGACGCACACCCGTGGAGCCTCCATGACGTCGTCTTATCCGTGTGATTGACGATCCTGCGCTTTTTCTGATTCCCAACTCGACGCGCCTCCAGATGCTTGATCGCATCGGCAAAGCGGCGCTCTACCGCTTCGGGGAAGTGACCCTCCTGCCAAAGGTTCCGGCTTTACAGCTGTAAGACCTCCTCAGCGCAGCCGTGACATGCATGCAACACTCAGGTGCAAGTTGATGACGGAAGCAATTTCTTTTGAAGCCCCAGCGGCGGCGGATGCTTCGTGCTTTTGTGCCCCGGGCCTGGCACATCTCGAAGGTCAACCCAGGGCAGCAGCGATAGTAAACCTCGTAGCCGAAGCTGCCTCGCAAAGTCGCGGCGTTGCTGCCCAGGGTCGCTAGGTGGACTTGCTGAAGCTGGTTCCTGCATTATTGGTCTCTAAGGCTTCGCACCTGGATGGTCGGAGTCTCCGGGCGCTGGCGGGTAGTCGTAGTCCAGGCGGACCACGCCCAGGGCTGGATGCCTGAGAATTCAAGGGGCAGTGCTGCGGCGTTGGATTCGCAGTCCTTGTCGAATCGCTTGTCAACTGCGCCGCTTCGCGTCAACGACACAGCATTGCAAAGCCACTATCTCACCGTCGTTCTCTGCTGAATCACATTTTCAAGTAGGTCTTTTTGTGACCCAAGCTCCTGTAGCCTACGACTGCAGTCGTATTTCTTGTACATCTGTTGCATCTCCAGGCCCTGCTGCCGCCGAGGCACTTGGCCTTCTTTTTGTGCGGTTGTCCAGGTGCGGCGGCGCCGCCGCCGCCTCCACCGTTTTTCCTGGGTACGAGTAGCTTCAAAGAGCGGACGATGGGCGGTGCAGTATCCTGTGATTTGCACAGCCTTTGCCCTGGCATCCGTCGACCACTTACATTCTTGCTGACTAGACTAGCAGTCGAAACCGCATACTATACATACGTACATCTACATACATAGTATCGTAGTAGCCGTGTGTAATGTAGCATCGACCTGTATCGATGATGCGGGGTTATACTTTGAGCCTCTAAGTTGTAAGCTTCACTTGGGAATAAGGCTGTCGGTTGAGGCTCGGCCCAAATCAGCGTTTACGGACTTCGTCAGATCTGTGCCATCTAGTCATGGCTACCTCTTGCAGGGGTTCTGCCTGATACTGACCTGTACAGGCTGTGAGCCTGACCACAAAGCCCCACAGCAGCCGCGGATCTTCAAACTCTCGAGGAGCTCCTGGTGTGCCCTCATCAACTCCACCTTGGAGTCCCGACTCTCGTGATCAGGGTTGGGAGTTTCATCTTCAGCTCAGCTTCAAGCAATGGACGGCGAGCTCAGTACGCACGCACTTGGGGACCAGTCGTTCTTACTTACATAGATGAATGCTGTTTGTGCGAGATTGTTAACTTTTTCTTTCTTTCTGCAGAGCATGAGGGTCGTCTAGTGACCCACAGGCTCTTGGCCCGTCCCCCCCCGTGGTGTTAAGGAGTGGACGGCTTTGGGGTTTTCAGCAGAAGGCATTGAACTACAAAATTAACACTCTCTCTCACGATGGACTGATTGCCGGAGTATGATCAGTTCTTGCTTCCCATCCATGTCCACAGCTTCAGCATCGCAGCTTCAAGTGTCTGAGTCTTTTCGCTGCAACTTCTCACTACTGGTGCGTGGTAGACGGTATGTAACAATGTAAGTGCTTCGGCCTATAGCTCACACCTAAACTGAAGGCTCAGCGAGGCTGAGCCACATGATGCTTGGTGAGGTCACTGTGCCGCTGCAGGAGGTCGTTGTGCTTGTCCTGCGACTCCTGGCTCGCCACAGATTGCAGGGCTTCTTTAGCACGGCTAGGGAAGATCTGAGTTCCAAGGCCAGTCCTTCAGGCTCTTGACGATGTCCTTGTACGCCTGCCTCGGAGGAACCCTAACGAGACAAGCTACACGAACTGTCCCGACAGCAGCAGCGACTAGCCAATGGCCCTCCACCGGAAGGTGTCTGTACTCGATTTTTCGGGAAAGAAATTGTCTATACTAGGACGATCAACCAGCAAGACCAAACCCAGTCACTGAGGTGTAAAGCTCTGGAGAGCCTGCAGCCACGCCGTCGGCCCCGCGCTAGATGTTGCCGTGCAGGCGACTCCAACATCAAGCTAAGACTCATGATTTCACCGTGGTTCTTCGTCTCGATGTTCGCCAATGAAGAAGGCCCGGGCCCAGCCGGCCTCTGCATGGCAACAGTTTTTTGCAGAATTCGGTGCTCAAGACGAGCCGCAGGGCATGGCAGCTACTTTTTGCCCAATGCAGCCGCGAAGTTACCGGTTTCCTCCGATCTAAGGACATGTTCAACCTGCACCCCTCGGCCATACTGCGTGCTGCAAGGTGAGTGATGGTTGCTGCTTTGCTGTTCAAAACCGATTCTGCCGGCGGGTTACGACATATTTGCGGAAGGGACTTGCAAGCTTAAGCTGATCACGCAGATTCCTTTTGTTACTATTACTAGGACTTAGGTACCTGAGCAATACTGAGCCAACAGCTTCTTAGCAAGCTTTTCGGAAGACAAGCGGTTTCCATGGCGGGTGGCTCTGCTCGTATCGCCTCACCTAACACCTCACATCATTGCACCACAGCCATGTATGACTAGCCGAGCCGAGTAGCTCCCTGCTCAACCATGGCGGTTACATCAAACGAGCAACCTGCTCCGTAACGCAAAACCCTTCACTGTCCAAATCATGTCGGGTCGCTCATGTGGCATTCCATACATCGGCACGATCGGAGACAGAGCCTGTAGCACACGACGTTTCACTCTCTGAGGAATTGAAGCTCAGCCTACCTTGTCACAGGCTCTCACTGGTGGCGTTCAACAGCTTCAAGACGTGGTACAAGTACTTGTAGCATCAGGCATAATTTCAGGATGTCCAGATCGGATTTCCACACAAGTCTTCTCTGCGCCAATGTCAACACGTGTTTGTCCGATCAATGGATGCACATTCTTGCAAGGACACGTTCGAAGAGGACATGACCAAGAACTACGCCCGTGACATTTCTCTCCCGATCTCTCCCGTGGCCTGCTGTGGTTGTGTGAAAGTCATCGGCACTTCCGTCATGTGGCCAGCCATGCCCATTTGCCTGCAAACATGGAACACAAAATCTCCAACGCACATTGTAAGATTGGGTTCTTGACTTCATTTAAGTTACCATAATAAGGGAACCCCATTATACACTGTAGATCCCTACTGTAACAGAACTCGCGAAGCTGCTCGGCCTGCTTTCCTTCAGTCGCTGAAGCTCCATTTCCAGCATGTCCAGGCGGCCGTCGAGCGGGGTAGCGAAACCAGGCCTCAGGGAGCGGATGCTTGGAACAAGCACCCAAGATATCAATTCGCTGCAGTTGAAAACAGTCGAAAGAAAGGCTGTTGGGAATCGTGTAAAGGTGCACATGTACCCTCCCATTGACATACATACTGTACATGCACGTAAGCCATGCAGGTACACGAGGCTGTAGAAAGGACGAGCACTTAGGACTCATCTTAGTCTTTCAATCAACGACCGAATGACTTCGTAGCTCCCAACTCTGAAGCCAAGCCGCATCATGGTCCCTTGAGGGCTCGATGATGGGTCCACACCCCCGCTTGCTCAGCTTTGGCCACTTGGATTCAGAAACGCTGCAGCGTCGGTACGGTTTCTACGCCGCTGCGCCCGACAAGCTTACCCTTCTCTACGGAGCAATTGCTTTGTCTGAGACGGTTCCTTTCGCTCACAAGCAGAATACTTGCAGTCTGGGTTGCGAAGGCCAAAGTTGCAGTCGGGGTTGCGAAGGCCAAAGACATACAACCCAAACCAACAATCAGGCAAAGATCGCAATCCAAGGCCTCGTACTCGATGTTTGAGAGGCTAGTATCTAAGCCTAAGCCGTGCGACTGCGTTTGGAGTTCGTGCCGGCTTGCGGCACCCACGATATCCCAGAGATGAGCAGTGCCAACAGTTATTCGTGAGATCTCTTCACCACGGAAACACTCCGAGTACTTCGCGGCTTCATGTGGTTGAAAGATTGCTTGTATGCAAGGCGGAGCTGCATGAGCCTAGCTCCAAACCCCCTCGAGCCCAGAGCTAAAGATTCCCACGCCTCCCTGGCCCTGGCTCTTCCGGGAAGTCCTTCGAAGTGCCCGACTGGCCGACATGCCTGAACCGCCTGCTGGCTCCCTGGCCTTGGACGTGGGACAGTGCAAGCCAGTTTCAAACCAGCTCAGCCATCCCGGCCCTATGTCCCCGTAACAGCTGCATCAGCCTCTCTGCAATACCTGTCATCCCAGAAGCTGCAGGCAGAAGCCCACAGAGTTGTTGACCCCCGCCCGCCGACCTCCTGCAACTCTTTTCGACGCGCCGCCTTGCACTGAAGTCAGATACGACAACATACACCGTGGCGATGTTCTTCTCTGGCATGCTGGTGCCTCGTCCGCCTCTCGTTGGCGCTCCTGGCGATCGGCTGGTTGCTGGGCATGTCATTTTCCACGTGACAACGGAGAACTTCCGCTAGACCCGAAAGAAGTGCGGAACGCGCGAAAACCCGGAGGAGTATCCGCGGCTTTCCAGTCCCAGGCCGCTATTAGGCTACCAGCTCAACAAAGCTCAACTCAAGGCCTCCTCAGCTCTTCTGCGCTCCTCCTCCTGCCGCCTGGCCTTGTGACAGCAGTGCGCAGGTTGCGGGGTTTTCATGTTTTGACTGTTTCCACTCAACTGGACTTCTAGTTCTGCCCACTCGACGATCAGCTTCTGCGTTCTGCGGCTCAACGCCCCGGAACCCTCAATCCTTTTAAGGACTAAGCTTACAAGGCCTCACATGTTGAAGAACCAGGGTTTGGTCAAGCGCAGAACTCAGACCAGCTCGCACACCCTTCCCCAAACCTCTATCGAGAAAGCTAGAACTCATCTTAATCTACCCCCGAGACGGCAGGCTGCTTTCTGTAAATATGGAACCGGGCAGCTTGGAGGAAGTGATGCTGGTGCTGCAAAGAAAGGCAGCCCCCGACCCGACCTCCTCATCTTTCTGCTTCTTGGCCTTGATCCTCTCCTTCCACTACACGGCGGAAGCAAACCCGCCGTATCAGCTCTTTCAATGCAAGCTGGTTCACGAAGGTCACTGACACATTCCTCCCCTGGTTTGCGTGAAGGGGTAGAGGACAAGGTCGAACCAAAGACTCCAGGGTCTGAACAAAGAGTCATGCGAAAAGACACGCCAAGGTTGAAAGCGAGAGCCTGGCAGAGGTCAAAAGTAAAACGAAAAGGAGGGCCTCTCTGCCTCCGCAGAACGGGCAGAACGGTGGTCCTCCTCTGCTCGCTCGAAGGCCCGGCCTCGCTGGGACTGCAAGCCGCAAGGCACAGCGAGCTTTCGGGCTTTCGCGGGGACTGGGCTCCAGGCGCTGTTCCTCCAGGCGTCGGAGTTCTTCCTGTCGCTGCCGCCTCAGGAGCGCGAAAAAGGCCGAGCACCGTGATGCACCGTCAGGGGTGGGGTGGGGGTTCGTGTTATTGGCTCCAGGGTCTTAGGGTGACTTAAGGACATGAGTTTTCAGCAGAACGTGCAGTATACTTCCCACTGTCGTGGGACTGCAGGCCGTGTAGGCTGCTACTCAAGTGAACTCAAACCCTCAGCAGACTGTAGAGTGGCTGGAAGGTTATCGGATGTCTCTGGCAACTGCTTCGAAGCGGTTCTACGCGAGCGATTCCCTAGTTTGACCATGTTCAAATCTCGCCCGTCGCACATCCCGCACGCCTTGATTTGTGAAATGTTGGAACCGTGCATATGTCACCCTGCTTCAACCCAAAAGCACGGCCACCAACTCCAGTTCCCAGGTCATCCATGCGGCACTCCGCATTCCCCATTGCAACACGAATCAAATCTCGGCCACGGCACGTTCGCTCCGCCTCCGCCCTCTTCTCTACTGCCTTGCGCTGCCTTTGCGTGCGCTCAGAGGAAAAGTTCGCAAGGGAAATCAAAGTCCGTGCTGTTCCCCGCAGGCCCTATACAATATACAGCAGCGACCGTGCTGCAAGCACCGCAATTGACCGTATTCCTGGAAACCCAAAAGCGCTGGGGCTAACCGACAGGAGGCTAACAAAGCTCACCACTTAGACGAGTCCATCACCCCTCACGGGGTTGGGGTTTTAGATTTGGCGAGTGCATCATCTCAAGACAGCAAGCTCGCCCACGAGCCTTTCTTCTTCCAGACGGCGATTCTCTTCTTCAAGTTGGCGCCTGCGCTCCTGCATGAAACGTCGACACTTGGTACATGCCGCGCATGTCGCGGTGGCTCGATGAGGCTGTTGTACCTTCCGGGCTTCCAGTTCCAGTATATCGCTGATCCTCTTCTTGCCGTCTGTATCCTACGAGGGCTTCTCCGAAAGCATTCTTGGCAAAGTTCTTTTCCTCACACTATGCGCTAAACGAAGGCTGCAGTTCAGCGGCCGACTGTAGTGCAATCGTATGCAGAGTATGCAAAGAGATGCTTCCGTTCACAGGACACCATTTCACTACAATGTCGGTCCAACTGCAGCTGTCAAGCTTCTACGAGCAGCACACGAAGGGGATCCTGACAAGCACCGAAATTCTGAGGAAATGAATGACACCAACTTCATGAATTCAGGCGTTCGCCTGCCATCCCGTTTCGCGAGCTCACCAACCCAGAAAATACAGTGTGTGTCTTGATGCAGGCTCCGCTGTGGCGGCTCCGGTTTAAAAGGCGGCGAATCCTCACAAGCTGGGGGGTCCAAAGCCCTCGAGCCAATGGTTTCAACGCTGCAGAGCTTGTAGGCAGAACAACACCCAGAATGGCTTCGGAACGGCAGCAGAGAGCGAGCTAGCAGCTAGCACTCTGCCACCGCGGTCATGCTTCGGAAACGCCATGGACAAAGGACGCTAGGATGTCTCGGACTTGCATTCTTCGCTGGATAGCACTATGCGAGGATCTTGCTTTTCGTTCTCCTGTGGAGACATCCGCATCGCTGTGAGCCTGTGTACAAGTAGACCACCATTGCGCTCCGCACGTCGAAAACTAAATACTGCTTAGTTACCAGTTACTCATCATGATGCATGTCGGATGTGGCTGAGCCCGATTAGGATGCCCAACAAAAACCTCAATGGATGGGTGAATACCCGTTTTTTCTATGCACATGTGTGTGTGAGAGAGGAGACCGTGCACATACACATGCATACCACACCTGTAAGCCTTCCATCATAGCCAGCTCTTTCACAAAGCCAGCAATGTTTAATCACAATGGCATTCCGTGCAGTTGCATTAGTGGGAGAATGTAGTTCGACCTCGGCTGATGAACACCTTGGTGTGCTCACCTCCATCCTCACTCACCATCTTTCCCAGCATGGGGTCGTAGACGCCTGGCACGATCGATCATAGCTGCCCCCTACTCCCTACACACACACACACACACATTCCCTGCGCAAGAAAACCTATGTAGTTTCGTACAAATAGAAATATTCTGATAGTATGTGTATGTATGTGTGTGTGTGTGTTTATATATGCATATATATGTATATATGTATATCCGTGATCTTGCTTTCAACCTCCATGACATGTGCATACTGTCTGGTCAACCTCGCTTCGGAGTCGGTGAACGACATCATGCTACACTCTGCGGCTGCTGCTACAAGCATCTGCAGTATGGCAGTGTGCTGAATTGTGCGGGCTTCCCCGCTTTGCGTCATTTCCTGTGATCTGCCATGGTCCTTCGTAACTGCTCGAATCTGCTATTGGAGATAGCGGTATGTTGAACAAGGCGAAGAGCACCATGGCGTTGCTCTCCCCTGTAAGCTCGTGGGTATAATGCTTATCCACAGAGTATCCACACCGTGCCATGCATGTACTGTAACAGGCTGTGGGTGCTAGGTCCTGTCGAGATCGCATGGGGTGGATGGGACCCTAGGCTTCAAAGGTAGCGAAAGTGCGCACATCACACACACACAACATATACATATACATGTTACATGTACAGACACAGACATGTCCGTCCCCATGAAGAGCCTGTCATATGAGGACGCTTGGAACAGAAGAGCCAGCTTATGGGGAGTACGGAGTGTCACAGATAAGTATCTATTCGGAAAGGAGCCGGAGCCCCCTCCGTTTGTCCGAATGCCAGTTATCCACCGCCACACTTCTTGCCACCAAGACTCTGCCGCGAAGAGCTTCCTTCAGAAAAGCTATGTCTTGCAGAACTGATGGTTTGACTGGCACATAGTCGACATGAAGCATTCACAAAAACATGAAGGCGCCCAGCACGTGGTTATCCCAGAATGCCCTATGCGGTCGAACAAATTCCAATGTCGAGGCTGAGCGGGTGCAATGCATGCCACTTGAACAGCGATGCAGATGATTTTATGACTTCGGCCATCGAGACATCCCGTGCCACGTCCCGTGCCTTTCCGAATCGGAGACGGCCATCCAAATCCTGGCCACGACGGCCCAAGGCACCGGCTGCGGCTGCAGGAGGACCTGTTTACTTTTGAAATCTTGCGACCGTAGCTGTCAACTTCCGACATGCAGCTAACAGAGGCTCCAAGCAACGGCGGCTCAACTGCAGCCTGGAACAAGGAGTTTCTGCTGCAGCTGCTCGCGCCGAAGATCCACAAAGCGCTCCGCGTACTTGTCCTGCCGAGGAGTCCGAAACAGGTCCCACAGAACATCCAATTCTGCGCAACCCGGTGTATCGCTGGTTTGTGGACGGCCAACCGGAGATGCGGGTCGAATCCGGCCATCCGGCCCACTTGCTTTGAATCGTCACCAGTTCTCCGCCAGTTCGCAGGCTCCTTCCAAGGAAGCCTTTGGCGGGGAAGCGGGCTCTGAGCCGGGTCCGCACAAACGGCGCGGCAAGCGGCGGCAGCGGGCCTCGCCCGCGCCAGGTCGGCCTGGACTTTCAGGGTTGACTCGAAAAGCACGAACGAGGCCTTTGGATTCCTGGCCTCACCAGGTCTTTCCAGGGCACAGCGCGAACCGCATCGGCCGAAGTTACTGTGATAGAGGATGCTCCACAGTACCTGATGGGATTTCACATAATTCGCAGCCCTTCCTACACGATCGTCTGTCGCAGCACTTCACAAACGTTAAATTTCTCCTGTCCGATCGCATGATTCGGATTAGACAGTGTCCAAGTCTGGCGCAGCGCCCACATTTGGAGGATCGCGCCTGGCCCTGTCGCTCTGCAGCCGCCCGCGAAACGCGCTCCACGCGGCTGTAGGCGCAGAGCTCGGGACCTGGTGCAAAAGGACGGAGTTTCACGACTCCGGAACTGTGCGGCACCGGGCACCAGCACCGGGCGCCTCGACACATTTGCTCAGGTCCCGGCCATCGCTGGCAAAGGTACACAGAAGCTCCCAGAGCTCCGATCCTGCTAGGACTCTAGGGCATGGACGATGGTGGAGATCCTTCAATGTTCCTGGACATCCGACCAGTAGCCAGAACAGACCAGAATGCCTTGTTCGGGACTTCTGAATTATGTCAAGAGAGAAGACACACGCTTGTCTTCTGCCCTGCCGTCTGCATCCCTCACAGAACAAGATCGGATCGGACAGCAACACCCAACTCCTAAACCCCAAGTCTGGCATCAACACTCCCCAAACGCCAAGAAGGACAATGAAAAAAGTCCTGTCAGATATCATGATTTCACCGATTTTCAACCCGTTATCCCATTTTGCCGCAACCCATGAAAGGGTTCTTGTTAAAGGATTTAATTTAAGTTATCAGAGATCTACACTAAACGTCTTCTTATGTCTGTGTTTTTCCGTCTTATAGCTTAAAATAAATCCTTTATCAAGAACCCAGATATACCCAGATTATCCCATTCCCACTCCGCCTAAGGGGCACGGCACGCAGCGGCATCGGAGCTCCTCCGCCTGCTTCGGCTTCCGGTGAAAAGGCTGAGGAAGGGCGCGTTGGGAGCTTCTCCTTACCTTTGGTTAGGAGGGAATGGAGGAATGGGGTACAATGAAAACTACTATTACGGCCATTCTTCCATTCCGTACTGACCGAAGGTAAGTCTCTGGATGAAGAGCTCGCTAACAAAAATCGACATCCTCCTTGCTGTTGTTGAAAATGGGGATACTAATTGAAACTAAACGCTCCGTCTGACCTCGGAGTAGATAGTCATCTACGCTGCGCGGATTTGATACTTAGTACGAGTACCTGTCAGTTCCTGTTCTAAGCACCGCACGTCATGAATTCTACCAGAAAACCACAGAATGCCTCCACGTTCGTTTCCACGGCACCTTGATGCCAAGCGAAATGCTGCAGTTCGAGCAACATGATCTGGGCTTCAAGTTGAGACTCATGATGGCTCACGTACAGTCGCTTCGAGCCTGAGGGCAGTACCAGTGTCGACGTAGACAATGTCGTACAAGCCACCAGGTCGAACAAACTGGCTGTGCTGTCAGAGATGAGACAACTGGTGCAGTTTCGCATCTTGGCGGTCTCCCACTCATGAGTTGACATCGACCATCACAGTTTCAGGGTTGTGGGTTTAGGTTTTCAGGGTTTACGGTTTAAGGTTCCCGAGTCATGAGTTGACATCGACTATCTAGTGGCGGATGTGCATGTGGCCTGGACGACGGCCCCAATCCACATGTCGGCGAAATCGTCAACGAGACGGTCCTCGTTTCAAATAAAAACCCCTTGCACGGATGAACCGGTTCACTCACAAGGATGGACCTCTTCACGCAAAATGTGGTAGGTACAATCAACTCTCGCAAAACATGAAAGCTTCTGCATGCTCGCCCAGATCTGGTCAAGTAGCAACCTGCTCGCCCACATGCCATCTGCTGTTCGGCTGCGAAAGCTCCTGGAGTCGGAGATCATGCTGCGGAGCATTGCGGAGCTGCATCTCGTGACTTCTTACTGCAACAAGCAAAAGCAGGCTCTCAGGAAACCAGGTCAGCATGTCAGCAACTGGACTGGCCTGCTATACAGGTTTTCGACCCTGGTCACGGTCGAGTCCTGGTGGCTGGTGTCGTCGGAGCCAGCGCTTTCCTGAAGGGCATGAAAGCCTTCAAGCTGGCCTCTCGCCGCAGGTCCAGTCTCTCTGCGCTGTCACGTCGACAAATCGTTGCTTCCACTTGCCGACGGCACATGTTACCGCTTAGACAAACTGGCCTGCACCCACTCCAGTGCGAGTGGAAGTCGATGGCAATGGCTTTGCAACTGCGTAAACAAAGTATGCGGCACCTCGGCAGGTGCTGAGAGGATTCACGACACAGCCCCTGAGCCCCTGTCTCGGACAAACCCTTGCTAGGAATCGGCTGAGCTTGGGGCCCCAAGGGGTGGTAGCACCTGCTGCACCAACTTTGCCAGAACACGAGCCTCCGCGTTGCATGAGCGCACATGAGCGCCGGGTTTGGGAGGGGCAGGAATTGGTGGGTGCAACAAATGTGCTGAATTCTGAGTATCAGTGAGTTAGTAAGGTACGCAAACCGGCACAATGATATCACAGGCTACCACATGAGAACATGCTTGGCCCCCCCGTCCTGTTTCCGCCCTCAGGTGGGTACATGTCGATGCATTCAGATTGCAGTCCGAATCATGTACCCGAATTACACCAACTGTGTTCATCTCCTGAAAGCCGTTCGTGTGCCCTGTTGCTTGCAGTAACCCTTGAGACTGTCGTGGTCAAAATCTCCCCATGCGTCGGCGCAAAACGGATGCGACCTTCGGAAGATCCCTCGTGTTGAGGGTTCTCAGCAGCTTCAGCGCTTCCTGTTCGTGCGTAGGTCTACTCTGAAAGTTCAGCGGCACAGAAGTGGACACATGCTACGGTCTGCTTGAAGCTCGCAAGCAAGAAGCACCTGAGTCGACGTGGAGACGCTGATGTATACGGTATACTGTAATAGCTCTTTCGGCAAACGGGCATCAGAACCCCGCCCTAGAGACAAACTCTATTTTGTGAAACTCAGCAGCGCCTCGAGTTGCCGCCCAGGCTGGCGCTGCCGCGCAGGGCCGGCGAGCACCAACTCCCAGTTCATGGCCGAATCGCGGAAAAACTCGAACGTAGCTGCGGAAGTTTCACGAATTGCTCTCAAGTCGTCTGGGAGGGTGATTTGGCTTCTGTCTCAGTGTCGACCATGCCCGAATCACAAGTCATGAAGTCCAGTCGCTACAAAATATCATCGCACTGCGTACTTTGTGGGCGTTTGTACGTTGGGGGAGTTGGCTGAGTGTACATGCCAGGCAGCCTCTACTTACACTGTTTCGTCTCATGTCGTGGCTTGACTTCTCATTTGCACCACGCGCGCAGAAGCGACCGGACCATCGCAAAAGCCAACGAAGACAAGCTATGCACATCAACCCCGAACACTGTGAGCTGCAGAGCGAGAGTCCGAGAGAGCGGGAGAGACGGGGAGACAAACAGACCTCCACCGTTCTAGAACAAACGGCCGTTGCTGCGGTGGGGCAGAACTCATGCTGTGTAAGGGCTCAATGATGGACTATATTATATTGAACTGTTCGTCCAGAGAGAGAGGGCAGGGCCGGACAGGTTTTAGCAACTACAACTAATTCCACCTGTGACTCAGAATACTGCGTGACTTCTGACAAACGAGCAGAAGCGGTGCTCCTCAGCAATCTCTGTTGCCATGGGAAGAACCTGTGAGACTCCCGGCCCGTCCTCCGCCTCCCTCTGCTGCTGTTGCTCCATGCGCAACGCCTCCTTCGGACTCAGAAACGGACCGGTGCTTGGGACGCAGCTTCATAGTTGGTTGGTCAAGAGCAAAGCACAGGTTCCGTGCTGGCTGGCATTCGGAAAGAAACTTGCCAGTTCCTGAGATACTTGACCTCAAGGTCAGCGTAACAGCCTGTCCAAAAGACGAAAACAAGCGATGCTTTGCCACGGCTTCTCTGCTTCTCCTCTTCGGCTTGCCGCACTTCTTCCTCCAGCCTGCAAAGCAGCACTCAAGCACTTTGCGATCCTTCCCGATTCGGCATGAGATGACCGAAGCCAAAGCACAGAAACCCTACCATTTGATGATGCGGTCATGAGTCATGACATGATGATGTGACCGTATGTTCTGAGCTTGCCGGTGACCGGCCCCGTTCGGCGGAGGCACCTCCTCCTCGCCTCATCCTCCCTTCGCCGCTCCTCCTGTCTTTCAAGAAAAGCTCGGAGGGAACACTTTCGTCTGACCGACTGGGGCTTGAAGGAGTTAAATTTTAAACGGGCAGAGTTGAAAGATTTGCAACTCAAGTCCCCAGGGTTCTGGCTGCAGAACGGACTTGCGATGAAGTGTCCTCTTCTCGCCTGCGCTCTTCCTTCAGCTGTTCCGCACGTCGTTGAATCTCTGCCTGCCTTGGGAGCCGCGAGGAGCAGTTTTGAGACCTACATTTTATGCTAGACTGCTAGAAGCGAAGCAATGGATAGCTACGCCGCGGTTAAGGCCCATCTCTCTCAGGCGGGCACTCTTCCTCGTCTCGGCGACGCCTTCTCTCTGCTTCCATCTGCCGGTCAGGGTTCGCGAGTAGCGAGCTGCGCGTGAGTTAGAGAGATCCACGCTGGAATTTGACATCCAGCCCAGCAGCATCAATTCCACAACCCTTGTCCGTAGCTAGAAATTCACCATGCTCCGCGACTCCGGCCTGTACTCTTCGTCCACCGTACGACCACCACTGTCGTGATTGCTGCGTCGGCGGGTAATGCTTGGGCCGCTGCGGCAATCCGAACTTCTCCAAAATGCGTTGCACTGCCTGCCTTGTCAGCCTCCTCTCTCTCGCGGCGGAGCTTCGCCATGGCTTCGGCTTGCTCCTTCGGGAGATTTGAAGTTGAAACGGCACCGAGCATCCGCTCGATTTGTAAACTTGAAGCAACTGAGGCGACGGGCACTAGAGATGTTGCGGTGCTGCGTCTTATCCTATCCCAGTGCATTCAACTTCAAAACCAAGGCCTCCTCGCTCCGTCGAGCGGCCTCCTCGTATTCACGCTCCTGGAAAGCCGAGGCCCGAATTGTAAAACTCAACAAGACCTCGAACCCCGCATCACCGCAACCTCCCGCTGCTGTTGCTGCCATTCTCGCTCCAGCCGCTCAGCCTTCCCGCAAAGGGCAGTTGCCGAATCACATGTAGAATACGGTTTCGGGATGAATAGAGCAACTTGTGTGTATGGGTGTCTGTCTGTCCGTGTCTGTAAAAACATGTATGCATGCAAGCATGCAGGCAGGCAGATAAGTATGCGTTGTATATCTGTATACGTGCATATATCTACATATACAGACATGCATACATGTATGATATGTATATATATATATGTGTGTGTATGCACATACATACATACCTACATACATACATACATACATACATACTTACTGACGTACATACATACACACACAGAACATTACATAACATGCTATGGCACAACATCTTATAGGACAGCATAACATACAACAACGTATCATACAATAGCACAGAATAGCATACATAACGCACAGATGTTACATGTGTTCCAATCACAAAGGAATAGCATTGCATCCTGCCGCGGCTCGAATACCAGAAAGTGAAGCTCGTGCATTGGTTCGACCCCAACACAAGATCTGGCTCTGGTCTGGTCCTGGGGCAGATCCCGGTCCAGCCTCTTCAGCTTTTCGCCTTTTATCTGCCTCAAGGCAGACGTGTCGGCAGTGAAAAAAAAGGACGGACAGCAGCTGGAGCTCGGCATTCAAGCAACTGGGCAGATGCCCAGTCAACCCGCGGATCCAGTTAGCATAGCCGCGTGCACCAAAAGCACGCGTGCGCGCACGAACACACACACACACACATACACACTCTCTCTCTCACACACATACACTCATTCACACATACAGACACAATCACACACACACACACACACACATTCACACAGCACTTGCACACGCACGCGCGCACAAACAATCACTGATTCACACAGACACACAGCCGGAAAACCACCAATCAAGTGCAAAACTGACAGTGACATACCAGTGCACTAGTTGTTCATCTGCGCTGCCCTTAGCAAAAAAAGGAATGATCACTTGCTGACACTTTGCCGAGTCCACAGAAAGAGCCCTAATACTCTGCCAAATCTCTCAAAATGACGACCTTCCCACAAGGATCCTCGGCCATCTTGTGTGCAGGGTGTCTTCGAAGGCGAACCCCCAACAAACGAAGTAGTCTGCGCAGTTACTGCTAATACTACCATGCCTCCATCTTCACTTCTTTCTCTGCCCGCTCTCGCTCCTGTCGAAGCCTCATCGCACAGGCTGGGAAAGGGACCGGGCTTGGTGCCAAGGTGTCAGACGCGACGACCACAACAACCCATGGAGGCATGTCAAGAATAGAAGGCACTTCTTCTAGCGCAATCTGTTGCTTTGAGTGACCAACCGATCGGCTTCTGCTTTCTCCTCGCAGAAGCCGGCAGCCGCTTGCTGTCAAGCAACGCATTGCCAAGCTCCGACTTTAGGTGTCCATACTGGTCTGGTGCATGTCTGTTCAACCCACTTGGAAAAAGCCACAGATGCCCAGTTCAGAGATTGGGCGTCCTCCGCTTGCTGGCGCTGATACTCGAGCAGCCACGCATATGCCTTCCACTTCTTTACTTCCCGGAAATCATGAATCACCAGTACTCTGAGCTCAGAGGTACATGTCTGCTGTTTAGGCGCAGCAGCAACGGTGCTCTCGGGCCGGGCCGACTGCATGGGCAACTATCTTTAACTTTTTACAGTAGTGGCCTAGTGGCCCACCGGACCGAAACAACCTTTCTTCGCAAGATCTCTAAAGACATGCTGCGAGAATGCTGGAGCTCTGGGGGTCTTTCAGTTTCACGTCTCCGGCCTGTTCCTTCTTCTCGCGGGCGGCCTGTTCTTCCGGACCTGAGGCGAAGAGCTCAACGCTTTCTTCCAAAAACTGCATCACACTGACCCACCTCCCCCCCACGAGCAGTGCTACAGCGTCCTGTGCTCACAAGCTCCAAAACGACCCGTCTTGCACAGGACACGACTTTCAACCTTCGTCGCAGCCTTCTCTGCACGTTCCTGCCACTGGATTTGCCGCGGGCATAGCAAGTGTGGAGTGGCTTGAAGAGGAGGGGATGAGGTTCTGACGTCCCTGAGTGCAGCATGACTTGAGCTGTACGAGTTCCAGCGACGGAGTGCCGATCTTGCCTGGGCGGCCTTCACGGCACCCTGCATCATGACCTGCACCGGAGCGCAGAAATCTCGGAGGCCGGATCCCTTCCCGAAGGGGCTTAGGGGCCCACTCGCACGCATTTTTCGACCGGAGGCCATGTCGGGCAGGCTCCAATTTCCGCCGATAGGTCTTGACCCACTCACTGGCATTCACTGGTGGCCACACAAGGTCGCACTCGTCGGTCTCCCTTTGATAGAACAGAGCCACCTATCTGGAAGCTCCAGCCAACTCGAGATCTCAAGCATCGGTGACGAATTCGGGAGATCATGCAGCATGTCATGTGTGTGTGTGTGTGCATCTTGACGAATTTCAGGCAGCAAGGCTCTGGCACTTTCAAGCCAGACCGACTCACGTGAGTTCCTGAACTTCGGAATCCATCAAATGCTTGGAATACGAAGTCGTCATCCAGGCTGTGGGAGTCTGGGCACGGACTTTTACTTACTCATGATCTTACTCATCATCATTCGTACGAAGCATCTGCGGCAGAGAAGTGGGGCACACTTTCGTGTTGCCGGAAAAGAAACTCTGCATCTGCACAACTTGATTCCAGGAGCAGGGAGTTCCCTGCTCGAATTCCAAGCAGAGCTGTCAAAATGGAATGGCGCGTGAGCCGACATGCTCTCGTGCTCGACTGCACTAACAACTTACGGACTCGACTTGAGCATGCTCAGCTGACCAAACCGGAGGCTCTGCGAATCGTCTCCGAGCTGAGGCCTCTCACAGACCTTAGCCGCGTGTGCCGCCGAGCAGAACTGCGTCCATTGCCCGCGATTATGAACAAAAGCACACACACTGCGATTCGGAAGCTGAGCAGAGGCCCATGTCCTGGGCCCCGGCGCATCGTGGAACCTGATCCATGTTTGAGGTCCAGGGCATGGACTTCCTGTGCACGTCGTGTCTGCGGCATGTGGACTTTACTCCTTACATGGTTCTTCCACTAGGACTAGGTTGGCAGGGCCCTTGCAGTCGAAACCGAGACGGGGCAATGTTGACTGCTTCACGTCGCAAGCTGCAAGATCGCAAGTTCTTGCGACAGCGCAAGCACAGGCGAGACCAGACTAACCTCAAACAAAGCATTCAAGGAACACGCTTGTGCAGCCTCGTGCGCATCCAGGATTTGAACCATGCCGGCACAGTTTGTCTCATCTGCGATGCCTCGCAGAGGGCTCTGGAAGCGGAGCCGCTGTCTCTCCCGATACGACAGTGTCAGCTCTCAACCTCCGGACTCTGGGCCCCATGCGGGCGACGGACTCTGAGCAGTCAGCCAGGCGATTCACCTGAGATCACCATGCAGGCGCCCTCCATCCAAACCACAACCTTCGAGAAAGCCCAAACTTGTCCCGGAGAATCCTCTGAAAGACTTCTGCGCTACTAATCGCCATCCAGATTCACGAACAGATCATAACTTGTAAGGATTTTGGCCAGCAGCCAGCATCCCCGTTGAGCTCACACTGCCGACAACCGAAAATGCTACGCACAGTGCCGCGCTATAGTGGCCGAGTTTTCTACTGCGACACGCTGTTAGCTTCTCTTGGGCCCCCGCGAAGGAGCGCAGCGACTCCGCGAAGCCGTAGACCCAGCAAGGCACGGCGCCGACGCCCAGCCGCCTTTGCTTGGAGGCCAAAGCTTTAGAGCCGGCAAAGAACTATATAGGAGGACGAGGGCGGGTGCATGGACTCGTGACTAGCACTACAACCCAGATGCGAAATAAATACCAGTTGTCAAGGATCTTGCATCAAACACAACTGCAGATCGTCGAAGTAACACATCGAGAATGCTTCCCTTAACCGCACACTTGCGCAGGCGTCGGCTTGGTTCAACACGGCCTGTTTGATTCATGTTTCTTAACATACTCAAAAAATCGAGGCAATGCGTCCACACTCGCTTGACAAAGTCGGGTTGCTCGCTCAAGGTTGCAGAGAAGTGGATGCAGTTCCTGGGCTCAGCCACAGCAAATCCAGACCACAGAAACAACAAACTCATTACAACACTTTCTAATCTGTCGAGAACGCGAAAAGAACAGGACATCGCCCAACTTACAGCATGCATCGTACCACTAAGGCCAGCAAAGGCTCCGAGTGAGTGGCCCATAGCTCCGTCCAGGCCATTCCTATTCTCAGTGCTTTATCGCAGTGAAAGCTATTGCGAATGAATGTGATCTGGTGTCCTCTGGCTTGGGTCATGGGAGCGGCAAGCAGCAGTACGAGTATATGCACACGTGCTGTTGTACCGGGCCTTCTTTAGTTCTTTGATGATCTTCTTCAGCTCTTTGCGGTCCACCAGAGTGTTGCCCAGCAGAAACGATTCTCGATACCTTGACCCACTGACATGACTTATGCCAGCAGATCTTCGTTTCGTCTCAGTTTGGGGGCCCTCCGTGTTCCTGTGCTGACAACCGCAATTTCAAGATCCATGTTCGCGCTCTTCGGGTAACAAGTGGATCACAGAGGCGGTAATTGAACTTTAGCTTAGCAGTGTCACATTAGCAGCAAAAAATGCCTTCGCTGTTGGAGTCTCAAGATGCCTAAGCCTAGATGTGTTCGTCCAATCTGCTGATTGCACGCCACGACATCCACTCATCAAGGGCATTCAAGCGTCCCGTCCATGTCAGCAACATCAGAGTCTACTGCCAGGGTGTTGCTAAGCCTATGAACAATGACGGCCTCGTGCACAGGCTATGGTGCTCGGTTCAATTCACACACATGCTCAAGGACTGCAGAGACACTCGAAATCACGGCTCCCTTCCTCAGCGACGATGCAGTTGGTGTGTCAGTTCCATATCGTCACACTGGGTTCTGGCAGAACTTCTGGGTGTCAGACTTTGACACCACGGCAAATTGAAGACGTTTAAACAAGCGATAACAGGCAAGCTCCGTCTTCGAGGCACATGAGATGACATGACATGACATGACATGGATTGAATCGTCTGCCCAGCTGCGCATGTGCCGTGTTATTTTTTGGCACTGAAGTGTAGACCCCGCTGCCCCTCTGACGGAGTCCGAAGCTGTACTCATAGCCGTGGACCTTCCATGAGGGGAGAAGATAGGCACGTAGAAGAGAACCATCTTCCACTTCTGGCTGTTAACTCACTTCATTCCTGAATTGCCACCCTGACGACGCTGCCTCGATGCCTGCGTGGAAAAGACCGGCGCCTGGAGGGTTGCAATCGGATCCATGCTTTCCGCACTTTTGAATTCGAGGCATTCCTTTTCGGCAGTCGACGTGTCCCACACAAAAGGGCATGCGACGAGCCTGTTGTTCCGAGAAGTGTTTTCTTCCTATTTCGCTCGCATTCAGAAACAACATTTTCGCCTCGTTGGATCAGCACAAACAATCAGAACGAAAAGTGGGCAATCAGACCAGCAGTGTGCTCGAACAGCGAAGGATTGGCAAAGCCGTTACATACCCTTACATACCCGTACCCGGCCTGCTTGCCGAAGTGCAGAGTTGAGAACAGGGAGTTGGAACGAGTCCGTCAGATCATAGACATGGAGCCAAACTGGCTGGCCGAAGGTGACCTCCTGCTCCCAAAGTCGCTCATCTCTCCACATTCTCACTGCGGTGTGCTCGCTGCTACATCCGAGCACGACGTGGCAAGAATACGCGTGCCCCCAGTCCTCCTGCACCACTCCTGGAAAGTCCTGCACGGGCTCCGCAGGGGACTCGCCGGCAGCATGTTCCCGCAGATGGCTCAAATCAGAACCTATGCGAGAGGTCGGAGGTGCAACAGGAGGTGGGGCCGCACTAGTGTAAACGGTTCTTGAAGCCCGCCCGCGTCTGGCAGCGGTTCAGACGACTGGTACGTAGATACGTCGGGTCTCGAATTGCGGGGCACATCACAGAAAGCAGCATCAGCAGAGCGGGCAGCCAGCAGCAACTCTGGTTGGCAGGCCCGGGCAACAGAATCCGATCGATGTTTGGCACAAGCATAAAAACCCTCGACTTCAGAAAACACCATGACAGAGGGTGCCCACACACTTTCGGGCTTTTACTGTGAGCTGTGCGATCGGAACCCTTCCGTGCATGACAGCACTGGTTGAGGAGGTTCCTGGACCCCTACCCCGTAGCTCAACTAAGTAACACGCCTGCGCCTGGGACTAGACAACTTTGCAAGATCGGTAGATGCCGGTGCGGCCAAAAGGCTGAACTCCAAAGCCACTGGCAGCGGCACCAGGGTCTTGCACTCCTCGCTGTCGATGCCCGTCAGCAGATGCGCTGGCACCAGAGTCTGATAGTTGGCCTCGTCTGACCCTGCGGGATCGTCTCCTTCGGGGGAGCGAACCACTGTCTTCCATTGGCAGCTTGCCTCCCAGCTACCAGCAGCAGCGCTGGACATATCTGACACACCTAAGTCTGGTAAAGGTGAGGCCGAAACAGGCAAAATGCCTCAGTTCATGCAGTGACTTGAGCCGTGCGCCAGCAAGAGGGAGGCTGGCGATCATCTACTTCTTTGCACAAGATCGCGTCTTATGAGGCGGGTTCACGTGATGCATGTAGCGGGTCCTCAAGTGCTGTCACCTCTGCGGATGTCGCGAGACTCCACATCATAAACCTGCCCTGGGATTCTCATCTCAAGAAAAACCAAGTAACTACAGCATGCAAAGATGAGAATGCATAGAACCGGAGTGCAGCAGACGAATTGGGTGCCCTTACAACAGGTCGACCTGCCAAATCTGGGTGCCAAACCGAGGGATGGATAATAAATAAATGGATGAGCATTGATCATCACCTAGATTGGCAGGTAAGCATAGAAAGTCCAGCATGTCACAAGAGATCGTGCAATGATGTAGTGCGGTCCTTCCCGGAGAAAAAACCTTGCTTACGCGACTGAAGCGAAGCGTGTCCAAAAAAACTGAAGCAGGGCGGGAATGTAGCCACAATCTAGAAATTCCTGCAATCGGGCAAAAAATCAAGCGCTATTTCTGGACATGAAGATGCTCTTGAAGCTTGGGGCGAGGGAGCGCTCTCCCACTCAAAACGGGCCTGGTCGGGGCTGACGGGCTCGTCCATCGCACTGACAACCTGCAACGCACGGCTTTCAGGCTAGGTCCTCAGCATGGCTTACGTAATTTATGCTCACGAGCTCCATGATGTCGCGTCTGCTACTGCGTCACTGCACTTCTCCTTCGATTGCAATTCTATGACTGTTTGTTTGTTCTATACCGCGTCCTTAGAGCCCAAACAAAAACCTTGTGAAACTGCATGCTCCACACATCGGCGCCTTGGCCAAGGCCTCAGCCTCCGCCGCGGCCGCGCGGCGCGCCGCCTCCTCGGCCACCTCGGAGCTTCAGAAAACAGAAACTGATAAGGCATGGGGAACATGGCCACATCTGTATGCCATGTGCTACATTACATCCATGCACATTCCATGCACACCATTTGTCTAGACCCAGGGCCTCTAGGGTGCACCTGTGCACCTCTCACGAAATCACACCCCGCATGCTCCGAATATTCAGCAGTCTCCTTTATGAGGGCATGGCAAGGTAGCGGCTAATCGGCAAAGTGAAGCCCGACCCAGCCAAATCCAAACAGTCCGCACATGACATCTGCTCTCCCATTTCGGACTCGCTGACTGCATTGGGCGAGCCTCCTGCTCGTCGGCAAGCGCCTGCCGCCTTCGGTATGTTGAGCGACTGAGAACAGGGAGGAGGAGAGAGGAGAGAGGAAGGAGGAGAGGGGAGAGGGGAGAGAGGATTGCCATTGCCAGGAAATATCCGAAGCTCCGACTTTGCTTCCGCCTCCTGCCGGCACCTGCGCGGGGGAGTAAGAAGTTCCCAAGTTGAAGTCGGGTCTACAGTGCAACAGGAGAGAGGCTTCCCTCGTGGATGGAATGGATTCACAAGTCAGTTTTAATGTCCCGGCACCTTCTTTCAATCTGTCAGTTCTTTGGACAGGCCTACGCAAACCTTAGCTGTGTGTTGCGACATAGGCGAGAGACTTGGTCGGCGAAATTCGGGCGAACATGCTACATGTGACTCTGTGGAAAGCCCACGCCTCAAAAGCATATTCATGTGGTTCTTTAGCACTGTAGCTGCCACAACTTTCACGTGCCCGTGCGATTTTGTGTACCGGACCGCATGCCTCTGCTGAGACGCGGGTCGGGGTCTGGACCGGTGACGGATTCTGCTGCACAGCTATCACGCGAGCGCGCGAACACCTAATCCAAATCCTCAACTACTTTCGCGCCGACCTCCCAGTCCCCGAGTTTCTCCCACAGGCCTAGCCATGATTTCAGACAAGGAGATCCGAATTATACGGACAAAACTTGCGCTGCCAGTGGTCCCGCGCCTCTCCCTTTCTTGCTGAAGACGTCTCTCCCGCTGTTCTTTGAGGAGCCTGGGCTGCTCTTGCGGAGACTGCACGCAAAATATCAAGCGAATCTGTTCTGCACATCCTTCGTGCTTTACGAGTTTAGGATCGCTAGTAAGCGGTCACAGTGCTGCCACCCTTCGGGCTCACAGGTTTAAAATATTCGATTCACAAGGCTATGTCCGGGGAGCTCGAAATTGATCTCCGCAGCAGGGGCATCGCCGATCAGCAAAACCTTCCTGCACATGCGAGGCGGTATTGAGAATTTCAATCGCTGTCAGCCTCTTGTTGGGATTTGCCGACATGTCCCCCCCCTCACACGTGCTTCTTCACGCGAGCGACAAGAAGCTCACCGGGGCTTGCACTGAAGCATGGGGTCCGCAGCCCATCCATGTTGGTAGAGCTCGCGCCTCATTTCATACTTTAGGAACCGCTGACAACAGGTTCCGCACCTTTCGATCATCTCTCGCTCTGGACGCGGACCACCTGAGAAACCCCGCACGCCCACGACGATGATGTCCGCGGCTGTTCCGCGTAGCGGGGCTGAAGGCGGCGAAATCTGGCAATACGAATTGCACAGGAAAACACGAAGATCAAATCATCTGAGCCGGGAGTGAAAGCTGCTCACGAGTACATGGCTGCTGCTGTGGGCTACCGATTGCCCACGATGGGTGTTACGGGGCCCAGACTCTCGCAGCGTTGGTGTAGCCCTCCACGGCCTGAATCAAGTGATTCAGTTGGGAGTAAGAGTGCAGTATGCGTGCTACGTGACTGTGGCTCACATCAACTTTCACCCCAACGAAATTCGCAAGGAAAATCGAATCGCCCCGGTTCACTACGAGAAGTCAATTCGGTGTAAAACCTGCTCGTCCAACTAACACTGACTTACCTACTCCTCGGCAGGAAGACCGGTCACCAAGCTCAATGCATGCAACACAGGATCGACACGGCTCAAACCTGCTTCACAATGTTGGGACCGAAGTGATCCTGGTTCACATACAGCACCTGACCAGCGCAAGAGAATCCACGGTGGTGCTTTCTGTGCCAGCTATCCTCATCTCCGTTCCTGCTCACAGGCAGTACGTAGACTTATGTGTTTGCGTCTGTGTGTACATGTGTATGCATGTACGTATATGCACACGAAGCAGAGAGAATTTCCCAGCAGTTGCCTCAGTCCCTGATCAGTTCATGATATTATGACAACAGCTTGGCCACCGGCCCTTGAAACAGACATGCCCTCCGGAATTCGAAGAGCGATGGAGGAGTACCCATCACCTGGGATTGTGTTGAGGTGATGTCTTTGAAGGCATAGTCCGGGCACTGATTAGCTTGCGGAGCTTGTAGCAGAGCTCAGCATGCTTGCCTTCTTGGCGAAGTATATAGCTATCTAGACTTGCTGGATTCAACTCAGGACTCGATGCGTAAGGTGATTGTGCTTGTCAGGGTCTATTCACTGAATTTTCCTGAATCGCAACGCGTTTCACACGATAATGAAAGCTTATCCTCTTCTACTTGATACTCGCCTCGGTCGGTCTCTGAGAGGGCTCTTGTTCGCAACAGCTGAGATCAAGGCTGGCATCCTTGCTTCCATTGGGATGGAAAACTAACCTCAGCACTCGATGTTTTTGGGGGCTCCTCCGGAGTGGGAGAGCGTACTTGACGTGGCACATAGAAAAGCAGCATCCGTGGCTGGGACACAGGTGCTGCAACGCTGATCCGGATCTTCAACACACGGAGTGCTGGCCTTTGTAACAAACATCTGTTGGCCTTCTGCCCTGTTTGGAGCAACTTTGCAAACGATGAGGCGAATAGCCTGTCTTCGAGGCTCCGCAGGTGAGACCGGCACTTGCTCTGGGACCAACTATCGGGTGTGAGAAAGAGTGATAGAGAGAGAGAGCGAGAGAGAGAAAAAAAAAAAAAGAGAGAAAGAGATAGAAAGAGAGAGAAAGAGAGAGAAAGAGAGAGAGAGAGAGAGACAGCACGAAAAACATACAAATTTAGCTCGGTCTCCGTGTCCAGAGCTCCACGGTTGTGACGTTCGGACATTCCGCGAAAAGCCCCGCACTCATGAGTTCCGAGCATGTCCAAGCGGGATCAAGGGGGCTCCAATGATGCGGAACACATCTAATCGCTTGGCGAATGTGACGAAGGGACAGCTACTGCAATATATCCGCCGGGTGTGCCTCGAAACGCTGTTCCTGTTGGCACAGATCCTGAAAGCAGCCAGCGGTGTGGGCCAGTTGTCGGGGTTCCAATTGCCGAAGGCCTGGCGGCAGGCAGCATCCAGGTGAGGAGCGAGCTGATGGCCATGGTGGAGCCAGTGATGCCGGAGATGGCAGCCACGCAGTTGGCATCCTTGTCTCTACGGCCCACGACATTTACGCATGAGTTGGCCGTCAGGGATCGTCAGAGAGAGGATGTTCGTGTGTCCACGGCACAGACACGTCCTTGTCCAGCACATCTGCAGAATGATGGCAAATCTCATGACGAAGGGAGCTGAGCCGACCACCAAGCGAAAGCGTTGTACACAGCGTTGGTCACCACCGCTTGGAGGGCTGGCAACCTGGGCACGGTCACGCACGCCTTCTTCAGGTACTGGTTCGCATTGTGGTGGATAGATGCCTTGTCCCTGTTGATCCTCTTCTCATTGACTGAAACGATAACATCTCTTCAGGAGTTCGTTGCAGATCAGGTCCGCGGAGAGAATTGACTGATGTAGCATCCAATACAGGCGCCGATAATCGCGGCGCAGCGATCATATACCCAGTTCCACAGACCCACTGGCACACCTAGTCCCGCTCGCCATTCCGTACGGAGCGCTTGAATTGTTGTTCGATCCTGTCGAAGTCGCAAGCCGTCGTGGAGAACTTGATGAAGGTCGCGAGCCACAGCCGGGGCGACGACACACGGCACGGCACTTGGCCAGCCTCACGGATGCCCACTCGGCAGCTCTTTGGATCCCGCTCTGCGCCATGAAACGCCTGGCCACCCACACCCTCCGAGAACTCCGTAGATCTACCACCGTGACCATCAAACCCAGAGCAGCCACGCCAGCCGCGCGCCGGGGTGCGACGTGCAAATTCAGGGGCTCCCAGCGACGTGCTGTGCTCATAGCCGTCCAGTATGCCAAACAGCAACCTCCACGTCAAGCCACATCGTACATGAAGTCTACAAGCGCTTGCCGCGTCTCTTCAGACATCTTCAGCGATCGATCGTTTAAAGCTGCACTTAGCTCGTCCTGGGTGTTCGGTGAAAACCCGGACACATCCAGACAGATGAATCCAAACGGTAATTTCCAATATAAAGACTTTAAGATGCTCTCTTCTCTGCCCGGGTACAGCAGACAGGACACCGTCTCCTGCCACAGGGGACTGCAAATAACAGTCAAGTAACTGGCACATGTCTGCACCCGCAGTCACCCGCCTGATGTGTCAAGCTTCTGGAAGATCTGATCCAGTACCGCCAGCTGATCCGAGCCCAGGCCTTCCTGAGCAGCAAGGCTGGGGGCCACTAGTCACTGTCATGGCCGTCCAAAACCCACAGGTGTCCTCAACGAAGAAGTCCATCCACTCCTCCTTCGTGTAGCCATCTTCCTCATGCACGAAATGTGCTGCGAGTCTGTGAGCACTGCTCGGCTTCAGAGGCATTTTTTGAGGACACGTCTACAAGGGGCCTCTTGTGGTTTGTCTCGATCTCTGCACGATTGCAACCTCTACTCTCGTCCAGTCGTGGTTTGCAACCAAGATGCGGCCTGTGCCTCGCCAGCACCTGCGGAAGCCGCTTCATCCCCAGCTGGCTTGCTGTCCTTGTGCTGGAGATACTTGCTGACGGTCCGAAATTAAAACGTGCCGACCCCACAGCAACGACGCCCATGCTCCAAGGTGCACATGAACGATGAGTCTGGAGTCTGGATAGGGGGAAGATACGGCCGGAGTATTGCACTGAAAGACATCCCTGTTTGCAAGTGTGGCACCTGCCCATGCTGCACAATTGCTTCTGCTGGCGGCAGCTGTTCCTGCAAGTGGAAGCTAGGCACTGAAGAACCGAATGTTTTGCCCTCGCCCTGCAGAGTGGTCATCGGACAAACATCGCGCGTGATCAGGCATGGAGCGGGAACTACGACATCGTGCGGTCAGAGCCCAGAAGCCGAAAGCTCCAACTACCTCCAAAGCAATGAGGAGAGCCTCCTGCTGCGGCTGCGGCGGCTGCTGCGGCTGTGTTCTGGTCGCTGATGGCTGGGGCTGGGGCTCCTCAAGCTATCCCGAGGCTCGGGAGTTCAAGAAAGGGAGGCTTCTTGACATTGACCGGGCTTTACAAACCGCTAACCGCCGCAATGCCGTTGCGCCGCTGTCACAAGAATCACGTCCCTGATGCCCTCTCTATCCCTCTCTCACACTTCACTGCATCAGTACACGACGACAACTTGTGGCAAGGAAAAAGTGACCAAAGCGATTTGTTGGCCCTTGTTCCTTTGTTAACACCCGGAGTGGTACCGCAGGGTGGCACCGGGACTGAGTTCAAGATACTGATCATTGACCTGTGGCTCAATCAAACGCCTCAACCCAGGGAATAGCCCCAAGTGCTCTGCCCCTGTCCTTCCATTCCACCTCAGGCCGGTGCAAGGTGGAGGATGCAGAGGGCTGTGGCAAAGCCGTTGCCTGGCAGGGTTGGGAGGCAGAATCTGTCCTACACTAAATTTGTTGGCACGAATCTGGAGATGCTGTCATCGCACAGCCCATATAACTAATAACCCTCGAGAAGAATGGGTTAGAGAGCGGGGACTTCACCTGTCTAATCACGACTGCTTTCGAACCTGGCCGAACCAGTTGGCGATTCCCTTGAAAACGAAAGAGTATCATCGACAAAACCTTGAGAACGCCTCAGTTCGAGTTGGTGGCAGTTGTGCTGGCGGCGGCATAAGCTGCCTGAGCTCGGCGTGTAATTATCCCGCTGTTGGAGACTCATCATCGGTCTTCGAAGCAGATTGCCCATGCACATCAAACTATGTGTAGGAGCTCTTCTGCTCGGAGGGATTTTACGAGTCCCTACGATGTAGAATTTAGGACATGCGACACGATATGCTTGATGAGCAATTGCTCCGCATTCCGTAAGCCCATGCAGCTCAGCAGCCGCGACGCCGCGAGTGACTGTCCAGCAGCCGAAGCCTTTGGCGTTGTCACACACGGGGTTCAGGCTCTGCGCCCGGCAGAAGTCTTTTGTGGGCCAGTGCCATGGACTCGTCACGTGCAGTCGTGCTTTCAGAGCATTGAAGGGCGTGCGTAGGGCGGGCCTCCATGTCTTGAAGCCGTTCACGATGTGCTGCAGCCTCCGAGGCTGCTCGGGCTTGTGGAGGGCGGGCAATGTCGCTGCAGCAGCAGAATTCGACCACACATGCCACTTCAGCGGCAGTGGCGTGAGGTATCGTGGCAAAAAGTATCTGACACTGTGCGGTACGACCCTGACTTTCTTTCCTTAACTCCATTGAAGCTTGCAGTGTCAGAAGTCCGGACTGCTGTTGATCAACCGGAGCTCACAATGGAATCATAGTCCTGAAGCCGACCAGGCTGCCCAAAAAGTTACAGCTGCTGCGCCTCGGCACGATGTGCCTTTTCCTCCTCCTCTGCCACACGGCGCTCCTCACCAGGATCGCACAGCACCACAATTACGACAGCTGCGACGGGCGTTGCGGACGCTGCAAACCCCACACGATGCTATACGAGCTTGCAGAAAGTAATAATCCAGACCCCCCAGACCAGAAGGGCATCCATCAAAGCAAAAACGTAACCATGGCGCACTCTGTGCAGGATGCATGTTGCCCCCGAGGAGTCCCAATGAGTACTGTGCTGACGTAGTGAGCCGTGGGCAACTTGGTTCGGCTTTCACTGGCTCTCAGCACTCTGAGTCATACTCGGGCTGGCACCTCGCGGTGCCGCTGTGCTGTGGCTTCGAAGTCCTCAGCCTGCATGGTGGCTGTGGAGAGAAGAGTACGCTGCCACTTACCATTGCTTCGAGACTCTGCACGGATTTTCAGGCATTGCCTTACCTGTTTCTGCACGTACGGGGGCGGCAGCGGCAGAGGGGGCAGGCCGGGACGAGCTTAACTGCCTTGTCTGGTCATCGGCTGTATCCGCTAGAATTCCTCCACTAGTACAGTAGTAAACGGCCGAACCCGAGCTGCAATCAGAATCACGAGAAAATCATACCACACCTGAAACCTGAAAGCTTCGCACCTCCGACAGCGCAATTTCGATTTCAGCCTGCCGTGCAAAGAAGGGAGAGGTCTGTGCACCCCTTCGACTGCTTCAATGCTTCAAGTGCCGGTACTCGTTTTTTTCTGCTCTTGCGAATACAACCAGGCACGCCTACAGGTAAAGCCAGAGCTGCCGCTGCCAGAACAACATGATCCCCCTCAGAGTCTCAAAGCTGTGAGCCTGGAGACGCTCATCCGTCTCTGCTGCCTCCGCCCGTTCGGCGCCCAACTCCTGCCTCAGGCGCACCTCAAGACGACGACCCCCGAACCCCAAAGTTCTCTCAGGCACTGTAGAAGTAGGAACCAGCATTGGGATTTTGAAGGGCGCACGGGCTTGGGGAGTTCAGCCGCACTTGCA